TTGAAAATCTTAAGTTCATTATAAACAAAATTCCACTTTTAAAATCTTGATGCATTTATTTCAACCTTTGATAACGTACATGTGTAAAATGGATTTGGCTCCACTAAAAGTGAGAAATGGTGCTTTAGAAATTAAAGTATAATAATATTAATTATTAACTAAGAAATTAACTATTAATGTTATGATTATTTTTAAATTTTGTTATATATAAATTTGATTTCAACATATTCTCTATCTTTTAATTTTTTAATTAACAATTGTGGGACACTTATCTTCTAAATAGACTCTGAATGCACCCCTTATTTTAAAGAAGCTAATTCCTTATAAAATGAATAGTACGTCTAAAGTAGAAAACAATTGCAGACTGTACCATTTACTTCTAGTACATAATGCTTAATTATAGCCAGCCCAAGACTTAGTACTTACGTGTTGTTTTTTTTTTACTAGGTGATCATCAACATTTTTGTAGGACAATCAATCTTTTGACATCCATATTTCTTTCAATGGGCCTTCTAACTACTGCCTCTTTTAGAATTTCACTGATGTCACACACTGAAAATTAGAGTGACATTTTTTAGTTACTATTTCATTTAAAAAAGAAAACCTTAGACACTGCTATCAATTCAACAAGAACTATTTCATTATGATTGTTACTTCAATACCGTGTGATCAGTCAAACATTAATGTCATTATCCTTGCCGTTTAATGGTAGGCAGTTGCTATCATCTTGTAACTGTCTCTATGATATTCAGCATTATGCAGCAACATTTGTTTCCTGTTGGTGTTATTTTCACTACTATGTATTTAATTTTATATAAAGCAGTAGTGGTGATAGAAAAAAAAATATCTATACATAAATATATATATATATATAAAATAAAAATAGACAATACCAAAATATGTAACTATTTTTTGTTTTCATTTTTTAGTGGATACTTCTCAAATGTGAAGAAAAAAAACAACTTTTTCCATTCTCTTTAAATAATTATCTACAACTATCTATTTTATTATTTTATATTTTATTTTTAATTAAAAAAAAATAAAGAGATATGAAGTACCTTTTTTTCTCACCAATATTGCATTACAGAAGAGACAAATGTATTTTATTTTATTTTGTTGTTCAGCTATTGCTTTTCAAGCGACGTAGCATGTATAGTATTATTAGTATATTTTACCGAAAAACTTCCACATGTTAGATGATTAAAGAAATAAAAAATATAGTTGAATGGAGAATACTAGACAAATTAGAATTAGTCTCCTGCCAGAAATTTTGTTATTTGTGACGTTGTTATTTACGTACCCACCTCTAAGATAAGTAAGTGAACCCAATTAAGTTTTTTTTCCTCTCTAATATGCCAAAGAAATATTATAAGGGATCGATACTCCAAATCTCAAATTACATATTAAATCAAAGCTTTATTCCGTATCATTCAAATATTCAATAGTAACGATAATCAATTATATATCTGGATAAATTTTTTAAAAACATTTAAAAAAGTTAAGAAAGAAAAATGAAATAAGCTTTTACATTTATTAGTTTATGCATAATTTAATTTATAAAAAAAATTTCTATTAGCTTCTCTAGACCCTAAACACTAAACACTAAACCCTAAACACTAAAAAAAATTATGAAATTTATTTCAATTCTCTTTCTTACTTTTTTTCCCCCCTAAAATTGTTTCTGGAATTGTTTATCCAAACACACATTCCTTAGCCATTTCTTCAAGGCATGCTATTAACCTTTGTTTAATCAACATTTGTCATATACCTTCTTCAAGGGCTACATTTTACGTCACCACAAATATCATATTCCAATATTTTATATCTAGTCACCATGCTATATGAATAACATATATAACATATTGTCTATAATGTAATTATATATTAATTAGGAAACGCAGTGGCTGTAACTCAATTGATAACATACACTCGGTTCGTGGGAGAAGAAATGAGATTTCCACAACTTCAAGTGTAATTAAGTTAGAATTAATCCCATAACGAGCCCAAAGGACTGAAACTTTGTGGGAATATATCTCATAATCCTATATGTTGAGGACTTAAAGCTCTAATTATATATGATGATTAATTATTAATCAGGAAGTATATAACGAAATGTTTTTTTTTGTAAGCATTTACATTTAAAATCAAAATTAAAAACAAGTAGTCTTTCTTCTTTTTTAAGTTGTTTTGGTCCTTCATATCCTCAATATATATAGCTAATCTACTTATGCCAAGTCTTTTTTTAATTCAAGTCGCCATCTTTTGGTGACTACTTTTCTAACCTAACGTCTAAACATGCATAATCATGATAGAAAGCCACTAAAGCAAATACCTTCCTTTGAAGAGAGTACGCGATCATTGAATTTAAAAAATTATCAATCCCAAAGTGTTGTATACGTGTATATATAAATAAGCCGAATAAATTAGCGATCAATTATTTTGCTTCAAAATTTAGTTCTAGAGGAACACTCAACCCACGCTAGTGGATGTTATGCATCAGACAAGATTCACAATATATAAACAAAAATGTGTGTTTAATGCGTGATAAAAAGCCAGGTTAAATATGGTTTAAAAAGTCACACATGTCGGATGGTTCAGCACAAGAAGCAAATATGGGAATAATATATACAATTCATCATATGGTATTATTGCTTGGCTTCTTATCCTACACATATCTTATACGGAACACAAAGTGTTGAATAATATTAAATGGCATTGTACACACAAATATCTTTTAAATATGAATACAAAAGACTACACGTGTGAGGGAGAGAAAGGCAAAAAGGGCATGATTCCGAGAAAGAACAAAATAGGGAAGGTGACATTCTTGGACTGAAGATTGAAGAAACTTTCAGAAAACACGCATACATAAAATATGAAAAGGGGTCATTTATAATTTTATATTTATGTTGTTGTTGTTGTTGTCATTTTCTATTGCTCTGTAGTTTGGTTGGGCCAACAAAACATAAGGCTAAGATGCATGTACCGCAGGTTTAGGTTATAGAATGCGGGCCACCAGAAAGACAAGGGTATGGTGGGGAGATTCCTTACCGACACTTTCAATATGGGAGAGGGAGATACCGTGGTAATTCAAACTTTGCTAACTATGTGAATCTTGGTGCAGATTACGTTGCATTGAAGGGGAAACTTCAACGAAATCTGATAGTGAATTTTAAAAGGGAAAGAACTAGGATCTGTTTGTTTCATCATCTTTTTCTCTCGAGTAGACAGAATAATTTGGGATGTGTTGTCTGCTAAACAGTGGATAATGTTTTCATAATTAGTACTGTGCATGTCAAGGGTTGCCATTATATATACAAAATGAGTCATAACTCATCATAAAAGCATATGTTGTTTTTGACTTATAAGATCATATGTATATATGTGATTTATCAAGAGTTATTTTTTATTTTATTTTATCTTAACATCAATCTTAGACCTCCTTATTTGTTGATTGTGTAGAATTTAATTTGTAGATAATTTTTTTTAATATTTTGGGAAAGGATCATTGATAGTTAATTTAAAATTCGCTTCAATACAAGTTATTAAGAGTATTTTTGATAATTTCTCTATTTAAAATAAAGAGTTAGTTTAAATAAAGAAATTTTTTAAAATACTTCTAAATTGATGTCCAAATAGACTTATAATATCTTTCAGAATACAAAAAATTGTCTTAAAAGCATATTTGATTGAGAAAAATAATAACGTATTTGTAACTTTCAGCCATAACTTTTTTCCCCTCACATTTTATCATTTATAGCTAGTAACCTTGAACCATTTTCTTTATTGGTCCCCCTCCCCCAAAATTAAGTTCCACTCACGCGTACTAAAAAATGAAAATATCTATGTCCAAATTAGTTTTTCTATTATAGTTCATCACAAACCCTTTAATAGAAGCAAACCAAATTCAAATAAAAAGCTGCTACATTTAACCTCACAACTTGTTTAAAAATAAAATTCAAGTAAGATGCCAAGTCAGAAAACACAATGTCAATTACACATCTAAGTACTGGTCAGTGATATGGATTAAGAGTTAGAGTCATTCTGATTCAGTTGCTTTGTTTTCTAGGATTTGGGGTGCGTTAACTTTTCCAACTTTGATTAATTAGTCATATAATTGAGGTTTGGATCTATTTTTGGGGTGAGAACTATGCCCATGATTCAGCATTTGACATGGATCGTAATTCTCCACTAGCTTTGGATTGAAGTGGGTATATGTACTGTGATTTTCGCATTGCCATTCAAGACTAGCATGAGTCCAGGCCCTATTATATCTAACTCAATTAAATTTGGGCTTTCTAGCCCAAATTGGCTGAGCAGCAAAAGTTTAACGGGGTTTGTTTCCGAGAGTTAAAGATGATTGATGATTATATTTTTTACACCATCTTACTTGGTGTATATTTAGTGTTTGGTCAAGACTTTTTGTTAATTATTTAATTTCTACTTATTAAAATATTTATCGTATTATGAAAATTAACCAATTATTAATAAATAACAATTTACAAAGAGAAATAAAAAATATAATTGTTTAGTCGATTTCTTTTTAGATAACTTATATGTTTTTTTTTCCATATTTTTTAGTTTTTATTTTTTATTTTTTTTTATCTTGGTATGTTGTGGGTCGGTCTATTTAATTATGATCTATGCGGGACAGATGTGGATCAAGAAAATAGAGTTCGTTTTCACCGTAGAAAAGTCTAACTAAACCCATTAAATTAGTGGACCAATCAAGGCTGAGTTGACCCTTGAAATTTGCGGGTTGTGAACAATGCATTAGACTAAAATTGGTAGAAAACAAGTGTAGGAAAGAAGGAAAGCGTGTTACGTAGCACCAAAAAAAGAAGGCAGAGCGTAAAATGAGCGGTTTCATGCAGAAGGGGTGACACTTGAAATACCCCCAAGTCCCTTCATTCCAACCAGCGTCTCTCTCTATCTTCCTCTTCCTCTTCCTCTCCTAACTTCCCTTCCGTCGCTTAGGAGAAGGAACCAACGACACAACAATGGCTTTCACGAGAACCCTTTCGATGATCATTGTCTTCGTATCCCTCCTGCAGGCCCAAGCGGCCCGCACCCCGGAGGCCCGAGTGTGGGCCCTCTGCAAGCCCGCGACGAACCCCCTGGCGTGCTACAAGACGATCCTGCCGCACGCGGTCTCCGCCAAGCGCTTCAACATGTACAACGCCCTGGAGACAGAGATCCTGGCGACGCAGCAACAAGTGCAGACAACCTCGGAACGCATAAGCTGGCTCCTGGGGAACCCCGCCACCGACAAGAGCACCAAGGACTCGCTGGCCACGTGTCAGGAGCAGTACTCGAGCATCGTCGACTCCATCCACGAGGCCATCGCCCTGGTCGCTAAGCGCAACGTGGGGGAGGCGCGCTTCCAGTTCAGCGCCGTCATATCGTTCCAGTCCTCATGCGACGACGAGTTCGAGGGCGAGACCTCGCCCATCGCCAAGGAGTCCCAGGCTGTGTTCGACCTCGCTGGGAACTGCTTGGACATCATGAAAGCCATTGAAGATAGAGAGAGTCGCCACCACGGAGGGACCACCGGTGCGGTTCCAACTAACGCCACCGGCCCATGCCACAACACTATTGGCACCTGCGCTTAACCCGGCCCAGGCCCAATATCCCCCTGGCCCAGGCCCTGCCCACTCCTTCTAATTGTAACCGTCACCGTCCTTTCCACCTGGGTGCGTGGGTCATGCTTTGTACTCTATCTCATTCTAATATTCCCCATGGAGGAGATCAAGGAAACGAAGACTTTTTTTTTCTTCATTTTTCTTATTCCCACTTTTCCTCTTTCTTTTTATCTCAAATCAAATCAACCCTCATACAAAAATATAACTATACCGGATACAAAAATTAAGTAACAATATATAATTATTTTACTCTCTTACTATTAAATATTTTACAATATTTATTTTCACTATTTTTTTTATTATTTTTTTTTTTTTACAGTTGCTTGCATTACTATTTTTATTTTATTTTATTTTGACGATTAAAGGTTTATAGCTATAGTCTATCTTAGTTAATTACCTTTTAGTAAATTATATAAATTATTTGGATTCATCGAGATATACATATCATCTACAACAGTATCTGACATTTTAGCATGTAAATTGCCCTACTCACTATTTATTTTCTTAAATCCATTGAAAATTTTGGATGACAATTAAAAAAAGTGGACTCATCATGTAGATTTCTTCCTAATATTGCTATGACTGTAGTCATGTTTATTATTTTTTTGAAATCTTTTATTTCTCAATAACGTTATTATTTATTGGTGTATGTATTGACCACGAGTCACTTCGTTCTTGGATAACTATATTATAATATACTAGCGGGGCTGAGGCACTTCGTGCTTCTATATGAATTTTATCTCTAACTTTAAAATAACGCATGGATTGAATGAATTCATTCTTGACATATAATTATATAAATAATTTTACACAATATAATATGATTAATTCAATTATTGTTCATTGATGAAGTACATCATAATGAAGACATAATAGAAGGTCAGTTCATATAAAAAAAAAATTATGTTCTACATAGTTATATTTGCAATGATAGAATAAAATAATATATATAATAATCAAATGCAATTTTTCCATCATAAACTTTTTTTAATAGGAAGATCAAATAATGAATTCGCTTCAGGACGATTTATAGCTTCCCTGCAAATTATGAACGAAATTAACGAAATTAAATGTCAATAAATAATAAATAACATTTTAAATAATTAATAATTAAATTGCATAATGTCGTACCTTTCGAGAATAAATTTTAGTTCTTTATAAAATACATCGTCCATAATTTCTTTAACTTTAAAAAACTGCATAAACAAATAATAGAGTGTCAAGTATCAATATGAGAGATTTAATATTAGATGTAAATTTTTATAGGTTACGAAAAAAATTACCACAACCTCAAAAATGGAGATATCTTGTTTTGCATGAAAGTTGTTAATATGACAGATATTACTCGATCTTGCATTTTCAAGTGTCCTATTATTGTAAAAAATATGAGTTAGAATTTATTTAAATTAGGTAATAATACAACTATATTTTTATATATATGAAATTATCACATATAAACTATTTTTAGAACCATATTATTATATTACCTTTCTAATTTTTGAGACAACAATTATTTTTTCACCATTTTCCAAAGTTGTGTTTTTATCTACTATTACTGTAGAACTCCATCCAATAGAATATACTTTTAAACGATGAACCTGCTACAAAGAAAATACAATTTAAATAGATAAGCAATAACAAAATATGAAGTCTAACCATGAATTAAATTGAACATTGTTGTCAATGAGAGAAATTGTTGAGAGTGAATCATTGTCCTTCCAAATATTCCATAATTTTTCAAAGTCATCCTCCTAGTAAACATAAGTAATATAATGAAAAATAGATGATAATAAAGTTTCATAATAAAAGGTGAATAAATATGTTATCACTTACCTGTTTGTCAAAATACATATTCAAATTCTTTCTATTGATCTCTTCATATAACTGGAGGATCTCGTTGAATCTTAATTTGACTGTAGATAAAAAAATAAAAGAAACAAATTTTAGTTTTTGTATATCAGTATCAAGTATTAATTTAAATCCATCATAGTTATAAATTAAAAGGGGCAACACCTGATTTTGAGATAACAAAATTTCTTTAAAAACAATATTTTTCGTAAAGTTTCCATCTTCCCCTTCAAGTTTTCCTTCTTTAATAAGAATTTTCGTTGAAGCTTGAGAAACACCTCTTGACAAAGCAACATATAATTGACCATGACCAAAAACATGTCGCGGAAGATAAATTCCAACATTGGGTATTGTTTGTCCCTGTGACTTATTTATGGTAATTGCAAAACTTAGTTTCACAGGAAATTGCTTCCTAATAAGTACAAAGGGAAGTCCTGCACTTTCTGTTGTCTTATGTTTAATCCGGGGCAAAAAATATCTCTTTCCAGCATTATGACCTGTTAGGATTTCAACATCCAACATATTCATAAAGAATCCACGGCATAATAACCTTGTTCCATTACATAAGCCAGCTTTAGGATCTATGTTTCACAACAACATCAACGGTGCACCTTTTTTAACCTTCAGATTATGTGGTGGAAAACCACCTGGAGTAATAGAGTGCAAGTATTCTTGTTGATATAAGTTGTGTGTGTCCCCTTCAACATCATCAAATGATAACAACTGTCGTTCTTGTCCTAGGAAATGGTTGATGATAATGTCATTAAGCTTTTGAACATCCTCATTTTTTGGTGTTAGTATGACTCTTTCTACCATATAAGAAACATCCCATATATGAAATTCTAAATGTGGAAATGTGTCGCGAATAAGTTTTTGTATTGAATTTTCCCCTTCCCATGTTATTTCAATTTGATGGGGAACTTTGACCTTATCATCCAATTTGGTAGGTTCATTACCATCTCCCATGCGCATTAGATATTCTGCAAAATTAGGATCTTATAATGATCGCATGTTTTGTCTCAAATGTAAAACCTTTGTGATAGGCCATAAATGAGACTTAACAATACATGCATGTATCATCTGTGCCTTAGTACCCTTTGGAACAACAGGAAGCACCTGACGAAAATCCCCTCCCAATATCATAATTTTACCACCAAATGGAGCATTACAATCTAGAATATCCTTTAATGATCTGTCTAATGCTTCCAAAGCATATCTATTTGTCATGGGTGCTTCATCCCAAATGATTGTTGTGGTTTCTCTAATTAGTTTCGCAAGATCAGACTGTTTACTTATAGAAAAAAATGAATCTGCCTCTACATTGATTGGTATCTTATATCTAGAATGTGCAGTTCGACCACCAGGTAATAGTGTGGCAGCTATACCAGAAGAGGCAGTTGCTAAAACAATTTGTCCCTTGCTTCTCACATTTGCAATTAAAGTGCGATAAAGAAATGTTTTACCTGTTCCTCCTGGTCCATCCACAAAGAAAACTTGACTTTGTTTATTGTTGATAACATCCATAATGGCATTGAATGCAATTAATTGATCATTATTTAATTTAATCACAGATTCTACATCTTCATTATCTACCTGGATGGATAACTCCTCTTGTATAACCCTTGGCATCAAAGAACTATGAGTATTCTCCATTGTTATTGTTGGAAAATCATAATCTGTGATTTGTTTTCCATGTTGAATCAAAAGTTCATTCAAATCCTTTAATAACATGTTAATGAAATTTGTTGTCACAACAACGCTTGTTGAAGTATAGTCTTCCATCATGTAGGTGTAAAAATCATCCCAAAGTTGTCTAACATTGGTTGGTTCACAAAAGATTAATATAGTTACAAACAAACTCCTTAAAGCATAAGGCATTTGTAGACTTGATGCTTCAACTAAGCATTCGTGAATACTATTATCACTTTCTAAAAAGCCCTGATGCTCAGCCGCTTTCTTGAATGTGGTAAAACATGTTCCATTTGGTGAAAACATATCTTCCCAACTCATTGGACCTTTTAAATGAGATAATAGAACGCGTAGGTATAATTTTTCACCTTCTGAAGGAGATACTGTATAAATCCTACCAATGACTTTCTTTGGTGACCTTCTTCGATACCATTCCTTATCCTCTCTATGCCAACAATAATGTTCTGGAATCTCTCTGTACAAATAACCCCTTGAATTTGGATCTCTGCGATTTAGGGCAAAGAACTGTGTCAACATTGTTTTGGAGTTATGGTCATTGTTTAGAACATCAGTGATTCTTTGATGATTATAAAATCGCACTTGCTGGCGATTTGGTAAGTGAATTTGTAATCTTTCAACAGATGGATATATTCGATAAAGAGTAAATCTAAATATCTTCCACAAAGCTTCTGGAGCACAAATCCATCTTGCATCAATATATTGTTGAACCTCATCTAAATTTGAACCCCTACAAACCTCCATTGATATTCGATCTGGACCTTTGTAGACATATTTATATAAATACTTAATACTTTTGATGCTACTGTATACTTCGACATTTATATGACAGTTGTACTTTAAGAGTAACCAAGGGTTATAAGGAACCACCCATCTGTTATCATTAGTGACATTTCTATTAACAAATACTGGGAGGTTAAATCGTCTTCTATATTGTGGGTATGAATCATGACCTTGGCGTGTCTCTTGGTAAAATTGTTTTGGATACATTTTTTTGCACTGACCATTCTTCATACATGGAGAATTGGGATTCAAAGTTCCGCAAGGCCCATGAATCATGTGCTTTAGTACAACCTCATGCAATTGTGGTTCATCTTCAAATTTAGGTATATCTGCCCTCACAACGCTATCATAATCTTCAGGGTCACGTAATTTGTCATTACTTTCTAAGATCAACAACATATGTACATGTGGCAGTCCACACTTTTGAAATTCTGTCACATACATGTAACTTTTTACCTTTCCAATGACCCCTTTATTAATCACATCCTCTTAAATTGCTCAAATTTTGATCGAAATATTCTTGTCAGCAAGTCTGGACGATCTTGTGGTGTTTGATGAGGGCCTAGTTGAGATGATATTTCGCTCCAAGAAGGATTACATGTCATTGTGAGGAAAATGTCTGGTTTACCATCATTAAGCACAATAGTCATTTCATCTTCATAACGTTGTGTCAAGTCACGACGACTACCAATAAATGATGATGGTAATATTGTTCATTGACCGATATTTTTTACAATAATAATTATAATTTGTTATTTTTGGTAAATCAGAATGAAAATTATTGAAATTAATATGACATTCATAAATATTTTGTGGATTTCCTCCAATAGTTTCTCCTTCATGTAAAGCATCTTACAAACCATACTTCAGCACGAATATTATTTTGATTGTTTCGAATCAACCTTAACCTCCCTGATTCAATTTTCACATAGTTGTCTACAACATATTGTTGTAAAAGTCTACCAGACTTTAACAATGTAGATTGATCATCTGGACGAATCTACAATACAGGTATTAGTTAACACTTCATAATTTAATTTTTACATATATTTTTATAGTACATAGGAAAAATACCTGAAGGATGTAACTATAATATTCTCGACATGAGATATTTTGTCCATTATCATTTTTGGTGTTGAAATCTCAACCATATGTCTCAAAAGGTAATAGTAAAGGATATTGTAGTGGATCATAATTGCCTACTATTTCTTGAATGTTCACCAAATTACCATCATGACTGAGAAATTTGATATCTCGTCCACGTGACATTGATTCTGTATCTCCACCAGCAATAATTGCGGCAACTTGTGAAGCAGTTGGAAGATGATATTATGGTTGATTATCAGGATGTTCTTTAATAAGTAGACTACATTCGTGAACATTTGATCGTAGTGCAAGTTGTTTAAATACATGCACAAAAGGATTACACTGATGTAGTATTTGTTGCAACTTAGAAACTATGGATTGATGTAGTTGAGGGTTTTCAAGCATCCTATTTTGTAATTCATGATTTGTGTCATAGATGTACAATTGCAAGAATCGTGGCCTACAACCCTCATTTGGATAGAATCCTCCAATGTTATGATATATTGAACCTTGAGCACGAAAACTATATATACCACATCCATCCGGTCCAACATTTTTATCAAGATGAACACCAAGTGAAGTGAATGAAAGTACATGGTTGTAACTTCTAATATATTTTCTAAAATGTTTCCCTTCAGATGTAGAGTCCAGGAAAATATCAAGCAACTCTTTAGTAGCATTAATTAGTGTAAAATTAACTTTTCCACCTGAGCAGCACATATCTTTTGATTCATGATAAAATACTTGTGCTTGACATCGTCTACATATACTTGGAGTTGGTAATTGAGAATTAGTCATTCTCATTGTATTTCGGAAATTTCGAGCACTATTATGTGCTCGTGAGAATTGAGATGGCAATTCTGCGTTATTTAAGAAAGTGATAATAGATTTTAATAAGAGTAAAAAAATATATATACGTGTGTGTGCGCGCGCGTGGGCGCGCTTGTATAATATATGCTAATTAATAAATAAAAACAATAAAAATTAATACGGGTCATAAAGAAATTGTGTGTACCTTGAATAAAATTGGTTTGCAAAGCTTGCATTATTCGCAGTTACATATGCTAGCTGTGAAGAATCATCACCACTTTCAAAATCCAGAAAAAGTTGCTTCAAGGTGGATTGATAGCTGAAAAGTTTAAAGAATTTTGATCAGGTCAAATATGTGATCAGATCTATGATAAAGATCCTGAAAAAAATTACCCACACACATTAGAGAAGAGTACAGCATATAAAATGATGATGTCTATGAGGGAATTGTGCAATCACATTCTTCTATTTTATTTATTTATATTTAAGAGAAACTGTTTCTTAAAGTTCAGTTTTCATTCCCTTTGTAAGTAGGATAATGCTGTACTCTTCTCTAATGTGTGTGGGTAATTTTTTTCAGGATCTTTATCATAGATCTGATCACATATTTAACCTGATCAAAATTCTTTAAACTTTTCAGCTATCAATCCACCTTGAAGCAACTTTTTCTGGATTTTGAAAGTGGTGATGATTCTTCACAGCTAGCATATGTAACTGCGAATAATGCAAGCTTTGCAAACCAATTTAGATGGAAAATCAGAGCAGTATAAAGACCCTGCATTAACACATTGTTTTCTCATGAACAATATTCATTATATTGTAAGATGGGTTTGGAGGTATGTATTCAACATATTTTGGTTATGAGTTTCTTTAAATCACAATTCTTTTGCATGTTTTGGTGGTTGAAAGTCTTTTTTCCTCTTAACCCTCTTCTGTTCTAGGTCTGAGGCCAAGGATTTGCTAGGGGATGACTGAAGCCAAGGTCTGGAGCCAATGACATAGGAGGATTGTTCAGCAGCATGCAAATCTATAAAAAAGAAATGCTTGGGCAAAGGTCTTATTCTAGTGACCTTGCTGACCATTACTTGTCTTGCAGCTTTCTTAGATGTCACTTGGATAATGGTAAAATATGTTTAGCCCCTCTAAAATTATCAAAATATATTTTGGTTATGAATTTCTTTAAATCACAATTTTTTTTACATGTTTTGGTGTTTGAAAGTCTTTTTTCCTCTTCACCCTCTTCTGTTCTTGGTCTGAGGCCAAGGATTTGCTAGGGGATAACTGAAGCCAAGGTCTGAAGCCAACGACATAGGAGAGTTGTTCAGCAGCATGCAAATCAATAAAAAAGAAATGCTTGGGCAAAGGTCTTGTTCTAGTGCATGTCTTACAGCTTTCTTAGATGTCACTTGGATAATGGTAAAATATGTTTAGCCCCTCTAAATTGATCAAAATTCGCTTTTAGTCTCTTTAATTATTTTTTCGTCCTATTTCAGTCCCCCAAATTTAGAAATGCATCACTTTTAGTCCTCCAAGTACATTGGTAATGCTCAAAAATGGTTTTAAGTAGCTATTTAAACTAGTTTGAAGATAAAAAAAAAACTCTGCATTCCAAAATTTCAGGGACTAATAAGATAATTTTTGAAGGACTAAAACTGAACTAGAAAATTTTGGAGGGAATAGGAACAAAAACTTATTTTACCCTTTTGTTTTTGTTAATGAAGGTGTTCTAGTAGATTGATTTGTTTTTTCCTGATGTTTTGTTTTATGCGAATGCTCTATTTCTTCTTAACATTAATATTTGTTAAAGTCGTCTATTGTTTTAATTTTGATTCTTTTCTCGGCAGATTCATCAGTGCTTATCTATTCAGGGCCTTTGCCCATCAGGTGGCAGGAGTGATACTGGTGGCAGCGATGGTGGAACTGGAAGCAGGAGTGATGCTTCATTAAGGACAGGTAGGTAGCCTTTCAGTTGCTTCTTTATGAGTAATGTCTTTGCTTGTTTTGACACGTTTACATGTATTGTGTTATCAGGTTTAAGAAATTGAATGTTATGTTTGAGGAACTCTATTAGAGATAATCTCAGTGGACAGTTCCTGACATCCATCTGCTAGTGTCTCTCAGGCCTGCAGTTGCTGAAGTCTTGTTGGTATGTCAATCGTTTTGGGAATAAAATAGTAGAGGAATAAAATAAATTTTGATCTTCTGGTTCAAAGGCAAAAGAGCTCGTGGTCATTAATACAACATTCTCACATCGAATATTTAAGATTCTCAAAGCCCGTAAACAAATACTATGCAACTGTTACCCTATGGTCTATTCCAAATACTATCCAAGTGTTATCCTTTACACTATTCTCCTTTCAAGTTTAATGATGACATGATGATATTGTTAGGTCTATTAAGTTGTATTTATTTTTTTAAATAAAATTTTTTGGGCACGAGAAGATTCCAATAAATTATATATATAATGTTATTTGTTTGTATAATTTGTTTATTCACACACAAACATATATATATATATATATATATATATATATATAT